AAAAAATATAAACTTGTGATGGCAAACCTATGGCACGTGTGATGGAAGTGGCAGACAGAGCCATCTCTCCTGGCATACCAGCCATCACCATTGCTCTTCCGGCTTCCGGTACATACATGCATGCTGGCCAGCTGGTCTTCACACATGTGGGAGTGCCAGAAACAGGAAGAGCAGTTCCCTGGCAAGCATGCACTCACTAGGAAGCTGAGCTTCCATTATCCAGCATGCGCTGGATAATGCTCTTTGTGTACACATGTGTGCTAGAAACCAGAAGACCAGGTGACCGGCCACGCATGTGCATGCTGGAAACCAGAAGCTCGGCTTCCCAGTGCGCGCATGCGTGCGAGGGAACTGCTCTTCCGGTTCCTGGTGCTCCCCCTCCATGTGAGCTACCGTTTTGGTACTGGATGCCGTTCACCAACACTGCAATAAACAATTCTTACTTTAAGACTCAGAGGTTTATTTCATGAGCAATTCGGAACATGAAGAGCCACCATAAGGCAACCCATTGCAATGAGCTCCCCTGACATAGCTGAGTCCAGCAAGGGGTAACTGTGGCCAGTGGCCCTGAATTCCTCCCAAGACATTCTTTTTATACTTTCCTGCACGCAGTTCATAACTTACGTCTTTGTTCTTTCTTACTGACAGGCAGTCTCCACATATACCCGTGTACATCTCAAACCTCTATCCGTCGGCTGCTTTCAGGTCTTTATTTCTTGCGGTTTTCAAAACTACCTACTTTGCAAAATCACATTTCACAGCAACAGCTCAGCAGGATTATAAATAGTTCTGATACACTTTGAAATCTTTCGAGCTAAAACTTTGGTTCATGTGGCTTTTTTGGGGGGGAGGGGGCGGCGCTGCTTCAGCCTCCTGAAACCCTCTGCCAGCAAAAACGAAGCTCTGTTTTTGCTGGCAGAGGCACTGCGGGCCAGTCCTTTGCTGTTTCCGGGGCAGCCCTGCAGGCCAAATCTAAGCGCTCCAAGGGCCGAATCTGGCCCCATGGCCTTTAGTTTGACACCCCTGGACTAGGGGGAGTTTGATTTGCCAAGAAGTATTTAGCAAGGAAGAACAACAACCAATTGGCTGAGGTCTTCTGCCAGAGGTAGAAGTATAGACTATAGGCTCACAACATATCCAAAACTGATCTGAAAATAGTCTTGATCTATGTTGGGTTCATCCAAAATGGGTGAGAGACTTTAGGAGATGGAAAAGTCTTGGAGAGCTCTTCATTGGTCTGATAAACTGAGTGAATAGAATAGAATAGAATAGAATAGAATAGAAAAGAAAAGAAAAGAAAAGAAAAGAAAAGAAAAGAAAAGAAAAGAAAAGAAAAGAATATAATTCTTTATTGGCCAAGCATGTCTGGACACACAAGGATTTTTTCTTTGGTGCATATACTCTCAGTGTACATAAAGAAAAATAAAATAGAATACATTCATCAAGAANTACCTACCTACCTACCTACCTATTGCACTAGCTGTAACACACACTCTCTCTCTCTCTGTGTCTCTGTCTCTCTCTCTCTACTTACCTACCTATCGCTCTAACGCTCTCTCTGAGTCTCTGTGTCTCTCTGTCTGTCTCCCCATCTCTCTACCTACCTACATCCCTATCGCACTCGCTCTAACACACCCTCTCTGTCTGTCTGTCTGTCTGTCTCTCTCTCTCTCTGTGTGTCTCTGTCTCTGTGTGTGTGTCTTTCTGCCTCTGTGTATGTGTGTCTCTCTCTCTCTCTGTCTGTGTCTCTGTCTCTCTCTCTCCCTACCTACCTACCTACCTACCTACCTATTGCACTAGCTGTAACACACACTCTCTCTCTCTCTGTGTCTCTGTCTCTCTCTCTCTACTTACCTACCTATCGCTCTAACGCTCTCTCTGAGTCTCTGTGTCTCTCTGTCTGTCTCCCCATCTCTCTACCTACCTACATACCTATCGCACTCGCTCTAACACACCCTCTCTCTCTGTCTGTCTGTCTGTCTGTCTCTCTCTGTGTGTGTCTCTGTCTGTGTGTCTTTCTGTCTCTGTGTATGTGTGTCTCTGTCTCTCTCTGTGTCTGTGTCTCTGTCTCTCTCTCTCCCTACCTACCTACCTACCTACCTACCTACCTACCTATTGCACTAGCTGTAACACACACTCTCTCTCTCTCTCTGTCTCTGTATCTCTCTCTCTACTTACCTACCTATCGCTCTAACGCTCTCTCTGAGTCTCTGTGTCTCTCTGTCTGTCTCCCCATCTCTCTACCTACCTACATACCTATCGCACTCGCTCTAACACACCCTCTCTCTCTGTCTGTCTGTCTGTCTGTCTCTCTCTGTGTGTGTCTCTGTCTGTGTGTCTTTCTGTCTCTGTGTATGTGTGTCTCTGTCTCTCTCTGTGTCTGTGTCTCTGTCTCTCTCTCTACCTACCTACCTACCTACCTACCTACCTACCTACCTATTGCACTAGCTGTAACACTCTCTCTCTCTCTCTCTCTCTCTCTCTGTCTCTCTCTCTCTACCTACCTACCTACCTCTCTCTCTCTCTCTCTCTCTACCTACCTACCTATCGCTCTAACGCTCTCTCTGAGTCTCTGTGTTTCTCTGTCTGTCTCTCCATCTCTCTACCTACCTACATACCTATCGCACTCACTCTAACACACACTCTCTCTCTGTCTCTGTCTCTCTCTCTCTCTCTGTGTGTCTCTGTCTCTGTGTGTGTCTCTCTGTCTCTTTGTATGTGTGTCTCTGTCTCTCTCTGTGTCTGTGTCTGTCTCTCTGTCTCTCTCTACCTACCTACCTACATACCTATCGCACTAGCTCTCACTCTCTCTCTGAGTCTGTGTCTCCGTGTCTCTGTCTCTCTCTCTCTCCATCTCTCTCTCTACCTACCTACCTACCTATATACCTACCTACTGCGCTAGCTCTAATTCTCTCTCTCTGTCTCTCTCTGTCTCTGTCTCTCTCTCTCCATCTCTCTACCTGTCTCGCCATGAATTAGCTTCAAGCAGAGATGCTCTATTTTCATTACACGGTGTATGCTTTTCTTTGATAGAACTACTGTTAGAATCAGCAGTTAGCTAACATCTGCAGTATTACGATACTGCCAGAAGCTAAAGAGATTGGCCCCAAAAGATTCATTTTTTTAGGAAGTGTTGTTGGTCTAGTGGGCCATTTGTGGCTTTGTAACTTTTGAAGAATTCATGGCTCGCTTGCAACTTACTCTGTAGGACACATATTTCCTGCAAAAATCAGAAGTAAAAGCTGTCATCAAAGCAGTTACCTGGAAAGTGATTCTGGAATCATGGGACTGGACTCTCCTCTTCTCTTTAAAGCTGCAAAACAAAAATGCAAAAAAAAAAAATCTGTTTAGAGCTGAAATACTTAACGCCGTCCTGATAGATTCCATTCTACACCAGACAGTGCAAATTTTTTTTTCTTTTGCCAATAATTTGTTCCAAATCAAATTACACTGTTAAGGAATTCTGTTTCTTTTCTGGCCTGGATGACCATTGAAATTTATGGTGTTGCTATTCCCCCTCCCCTCCCCCATTGTTAAATTGATTCCTGAAAGAAAACAATTTTGAAACCGTTCAGGTTATCGAAGAAGCATGATACACTGATCTTACCAGTAGTAAACCCAAGTTTATCTGTGATTAATCTTCTGACAGCAATCATGATTGTCCGTGCAGACTCTGGACAACACTTTACAAGAGAACAGCTCTGCTAATGTTCATGGAAGACATGGAGACTATGAATTTTGCAGCCAACCAACTGCTAACTTGAACAAGACACTCCCACTTATTTGGGAAACATCTAAGTGTAAACTTAGAATTCAGAAGCATGCTCACAATTACCTGTGCTATTTTCTCTACAAAAATTATTTGCAAGAAGAGGCCTTTAGACTTGGAATCAGTGTGTATGTCCCGTTCACCCCCTACCCCCAGCCCCGGTTTAATCTGACTTTGTGGGAAGGCCTATCTTAAATTCAGTACAATGTTTCTTCCTAGAAAACAAATTAGAATTTAACAAAAAAAACCTCACCACAATAATATTGTGGAAAAATTGTCCTAAAGATCCTAAAACCGGGAGTCTGGAAGCATTACACACACACACACACACACACACACACAATAACAAATGTTGTTAAACTTTTTTAAAAAGGGACTTGCCTGAAATGTTGTGGTTTCTCCTGCTTGAGTTTATTTATTTATTTATTTGCCAAGCTTGTGTATGAGATAACAGATATAAGTATAAACATGATTATGAATACATGAAATGGATACGAATAAATGGGGACATTGGGACAGGAATGGTGGGCATTTTGGCGCACTTATGCACCCCCTCTTAGGAATGGGGTGAAGTCAGCAATGGGGGTGAGGACGAGAAGACCTCCAAGGCCCCTGCCAACTCTTTATTCTGTTATTAAAATGCAAGCAAATTTTATTGATTCAGAGTTGAGGCACAGAGTTGCGGGAGTGATTATAGGGTTTAAATTGGGGCGGAGGGGAAATGGGGAAGGAAAGACAGATTTTAAGCAACTGCTGGTTACACCTGGCACAAGTTACAAGAACCCCATTGTTTAGCAATATGTTTGTAGTGAACATCGAGATTGCCCAAGAAAGGTAATTTGTTGCTTTTAAGGTCCATTTTTNCATCCATCCATCTCAGATTGTTGGGGGCAAGAGGCTGACTCTGCAAACCGCCTAGAGAGGGCTGTGAAGCAGTATACAAGTCTTAAGTGCTGTTGCTATAACAGGGTTGGAAGGCACTTTGGAGGTCCCATCTAGTCCACCCCCTTGCTCAAGAGAGGTCCATCCTTCTGCCATACCCGTCAAACAGTTCTAAAGCCCATTCTCGAAGGCCTCCAGAGATGGGGCACCCACAACTTCTGAAGGCAAGGCATTCCTCTAATTAATTGTTCTCGCTGTCAGGAAATTTCTCCTTGGTGCCAAGTTGGATCCAAGTTTCCATCCGTTACTGCCCTCCAAAGCTTTGTAGAATAAGTTGCCCCTCATCCCATCTTCTCTGTGAGAACCCGAAATCCTTTTCTTCATGACATTAGACTCACCTGGCTCCCTCAACTGTTCATCGGATGGTGAATCTTGCAGATGCTTTCTCATCTTCGATGCTTTGCTCTGCACCCTTTCTAGGGTGTCGGAAGCCTTTTTTTTTGGTAAAACAGTGACCAGAACTGGACACAAGTGTGGCACGACAACTCCCCTTCCAGTTTTAATTTAAAAGCCCTTCGGGTAAGCGGAGCTAGTTGAAACCAGTTTCTTGCTTTTACATTCTCTTCGAGCAATCCCGGAAGAAGTTAAGTCGGTCCCCTCCCAAAATAACTCAGGTGCCAATATGTTTTTCTTATCAACTAGCCCACATGTCAAAGTATGCAAACATAGCCTTTTCCCCTGCTGGAGATCACCTCGCGGTTATATTAAACATCACCCCGCTGTCCAGTTATCCTCTCCCGGTTTCCCATCCCCTGCAAAAAATAACCTGGGGGGGGGGGTTTCCACCTTACCTTTCCCCTCTCTTCGGCACTTTCTTGCACACCTTTGCGCTTGTGTCAAAGCGAAGCGTGCCAAGAAAACCTAGGTGATGCTCCTCCGACATGGGGCAGCCTCTCTCCGGGGAGATCCGTCCCAGGCGCTCCGGAAAGATTTTTTTCTAGCTCTTCGGACCCAATTTCTCCCACTTAGGGATAGCTCTTTCCCTCGGGGAATTTCACGGGACCCTCCCCATCTCCTCAACCCAGAAAAAAACGCTTAGCGGTTCGACCCCAGCTACTGTACTGCCACCCAGGCTGACTCTCCTCCCACTTTCTGTGGCACAGAGGAGACATTCACCAGCCTTCAGAGGCCGCTGCGAAACAAAGCCACTGCTTGTATCTCACTGCAGGACTCCGGCATCAACCGAGACATTGTTCCCGGCATAGCTGGTTTTCCCTTTCCCTCTTTCTCTCACTAGGAAGGGCAAAAGCCCAGTCTTACACTACAGGTAGTCCTCGACTCACGACAGCCCATTTAGTGGCCGTTCAAAGTCTCTGTGTCTCTGTGTGTGTGTCTCTTTCTCCTCATCTCTCTCCCTCCCTCTCTCTATCTACCTACCTATCACACCAGCTGTAACACTCTCTCGTCCCTCTCTCTCTGTCTCTCTCTCTCTCCCTACCTACCTACCTACCTACCTACCTATTGCACTAGCTGTAACACACNCTTTCTTTCTCTAGCCAATCATAAAATCTTCCCCATGTCTTGAAGTACACCGATTCCTCTTTATCCTTTATTTTCACTGTCAACCTGTTCATCTCTCCAGAATCTAGTATCTTTTTTTTAATTACCTCATCATCTGTTGGTAACTTATTTCATTTCCAATTTGGGGCAAATACAATTCTTGCTGCTGCAGTTAAAGCAAACCATGGTTTAGTGTGTCGGTGGCTTCAAGATTATTCTAATTTGCTTTTGGGGTGGCTGTCCTCTTGCAGCAACTACCTGGCTTGGATTGATACCTTTATTTTGGATTTTATGGGTGTGGATTGCAAGGGGGGGGTTGACGGTGTTTTGTTGTAAATCAACCGGTTTAAATCTCTGTTTAAATAAAATTTAAAAATTACGGGCCAGGCTTCTGAGCCTGGCAGCGTTGAAAAACCAAGACGCAGAGAGCCACGGAAGAGCCAAAATGGATGCAACGGGCAAAAATTATTAGGAAGGAAACAGGGAAGCGGCTGTACCTTTTAAAATTCTTCGGATGTTTTGAACGCTTGGATGTGTGTTTTCCCAAGCAGAATTCTTATATTTGATATTATTTCAGGAAGGAAGAGAGGGACGAGTTGTTGGAGAGAGAAAAATGGGAGATTTGGCTGGAAAAAAAAGTTTATGCGACTCTTATCATGCTTTTTCTTGGCTGCTTTATGGCAGAGAAATATATCCTGGGGTCTCGGAGTGGCATGCAGCCCTCCATGAACTATGGCACCAGCCCTCCAAATTGTCAGATCGTAGGCTTAATGCAAAAGAACCAAATAACTGTATGGGAATTAAATCCCTTTCGCTGTCAGGTGCTTTAAATGAAACCTATTTCCTGGATGAAGCTGTTATTGTCTTCCGATCTCTTCCATAGGTGGCATGTATTGAAGCTGCCGTTCAGATGACGTTTTGAAACAATATATTTCGCAACGGGGTTGAATTTTTCTTTGTTATTGATTAGCAATGATGAGTGGAGTAATGATGAACAGAACGAGATGGATGGCTCGATTATCAATCCGACGAATGCCTTTTAAGCTACAGTGTTTTGTGGGTTTCGAAAGAAAGGAAGGAAGGGGGGAAGGGAAGAAGAAGAGAGGGAGGCAAAGGAAAGCAAAGGAAAGGATCAAGGAGGGAGGGAGGAGAGAGAGAAAGAAAAAAGGAAAGAAGGAAGGAAGGAAAGGTAAAAATGGAGGGAGGAATGAAGGAGAGAGGGAGGGAGGAAGGAAAGAAAGGTAAAAATGGAGGGAGGAATGAAGGAAAGAGGGAGGAAGGAAGGAAGGAAAGATAAAAAATGGAGGGCGGAATGAAGGAAAGAAAGAGGGAGGGAGGGAGGAAGGAAGGAAAGAAAGAAAGATAAAAAATGGAGGGAGGAATGAAGGAAAGAGAGAGGGAGGGAGGAAGGAAGGAAAGAAAGATAAAAAANCCAAAATCCAGCCACCTCAGACTGTCCTCCATTGACCTGCAGAGAGTCCAGCAGAGGCTGGAATCCTGGCTGGGCAGTTTGACCTTTTGCCCTGAGTGACCACCACCAAGATGGAGGCCGAGCAACTGCAGCCCCTCAGGGCCCGGCTTCCCTTCAGGGACCCCCACCACCACCACCAAACCAGCCCCTCGGAGGGGACCCAGGCCTGGCATGGCTGCCTGGCAGGCCTGGGGTTGGTGGGAAGAAGCAGCCCTTTGCCATGGCTAGGCTGGGCAAACCCCCCCCCCCCTCCATTTGGGCCTGGGGGAGCCATCTCCACGTCTGCCCCAGCCCATCTGCGGGCGATGGGTGGGGGGCTTGGGATCAGGATCCCAATGGGGTGCCCCCCACCCACCCCCAGTTGGCTTTTGATGGGCTGGGGCGAAGCCCAAAATGGCGTCACTTCGGTTTCGGCTGGGACTTCATCCTCCCGGGGGGGGGGGGGTATTGAGCTGAGCTAACTGGGGTTTGCTCCCTAAACCATGGCTAAGCCAACCATGGTTCATTTCCAAACTTTTTAAAAATTTTTTATTCTCTTACATACTATTGTAAATATACCTTCACGTAATTGTTATTCTTCTTTACACTTGTGGTTCTTACACATTTATTATTCCATTTAATAGGTTGTAATATGCAATTTGGGTTGCTTTGTTTACCATCCCTAGCGCCTGTTATAACACCACCTTATTTTCCCTTTCTTTTCTCCCTCCTTTCCTTCTCTACTTTCTTCCTCCTTCCCTTGCCTCTTCCATACTCCTCTCTTCCCACTCCTACCCTCTCTCCTTCTCTTTCTCTTCCTTCCACCCTCCTCTCCTTTCCCTTTCCCTTTCCCCTTCTCTACTTCCTTCCTTCTCCCCTTACCTCTCCCCTACTCCTCTCTTCCCCTTCCTACCCTCTCCTTCTCTCCTTTCCACCCTCCTCTCCTTTCCCTTCCCCCCTTCTCTACTTCCTTCCTTCCTCCTCTCCCTCCTTCCCTTACCTCTCCCCCACTCCTCTCTTCCCCTTCCTACCCTTTCTTTCTCTTCCACCCTCCTCCTTTCCTTTTTCCCTCCCTCCCTTCTCTACTTCCTTCTCTCCTTCCTTCTCCCCCACTCCTCTCTTCCCCTTCCTACCCTCTTTCTTTCTCCCTTCCACCCTCCTCCTTTCCTTTTTCCCTCCTTCCCTTCTCTACTTCCTTCCTCCTCTCCTTCCTTCTCCCCTACTCCTCTCTGCCCCTTCCTACCCTCTCTCCTTCTCTCCCTTCCACCCTCCTCTCCTTTTTCCCGCCCTCCCTTCTCTACTTCCTTCCTTCCTCCTGTCCTTCCTTCTTCCCTTACCTCTCCCCAACTCCTCTCTTCCCCTTCCTACCCTCTTTCTTTCTCCCTTCCACCCTCCTCCTTTCCTTTTTCCCTCCCTCCCTTCTCTTCCTTCCTTCTTCCTCTCCTTCCTTCTCCCCTACTCTCTTCCCCTTCCTACCCTCTCTCCTTCTCTTTCTCTCCCTTCCACCCTCCTCTCCTTTCCCTTTCCCCCTTCTCTACTTCCTTCTTCCCTTACCTCTCCCCAACTCCTCTCTTCCCCTTCCTACCCTCTTTCTTTCTCCCTTCCACCCTCCTCCTTTCCTTTTTCCCTCCCTCCCTTCTCTTCCTTCCTTCCTCCTCTCCTTCCTCCTTCCCTTACCTCTCCCCTACTTCTCTCTTCCCTACCCTTCCTACCCTCTCTCCTTCTCTTTCTCTCCCTTCCACCCTCCTCTCCTTTCCCTTTCCCCCTTCTCTACTTCCTTCTTCCCTTACCTCTCCCCTACTCCGCTCTTCCCCTTCCTCCCCTCTCCTTCTTTCTCTCCCTTCCACCCTCCTCTCCTTTCCCTTTCCTTTTTCCCTCCCTCCCTTCTCTACTTCCTTCCTTCCTCCTCTCCTTCCTCCTTCCCTTACCTCTCCCCTACTTCTCTCTTCCCTACCCTTCCTACCCTCTCTCCTTCTCTTTCTCTCCCTTCCACCCTCCTCTCCTTTCCCTTTCCCCCTTCTCTACTTCCTTCTTCCCTTACCTCTCCCCTACTCCGCTCTTCCCCTTCCTACCCTCTCCTTCTTTCTCTCCCTTCCACCCTCCTCTCCTTATCTTTCTTCCTTCCCTCCTCTTCCT